CTACCACTAAGCCCTCTACCACAACCCTAGCCCTGAATATATTCTTATTTATCTGCCTGTCCTCTATCTATCTGTAATATACCTATACATAAAGGGGAAAGGTGATAAAGGAGAGTAGGGGCATATTTTAAGTTCCAACCTCTCTTGATGTTCCACATTCTCCTGTAATTACTGACCTATGCCAGACCCTGTCTGAACATAATATTGGTAAAGCCTTCAGTCAGAAATCACTATAATGTCTCTTTCCTAGCTCACTTTGGAATTCTTTTTTCCAGTTTTCTGATGCTACATCACTCTGTGACCAACCCTTACTGTTTCCATGGGACCTGAACTGATGAATGATCCATCCTTTACTGCTTGAACTGGTTCTAGCTGATGATACAGCCAACAAAGATCTGTTCATAATCATTCAAGAATTAATTCATGAAGCCTTTCCCCTTAACCATATGAAATGATTAATTGCTTTTCTATTATTTTTGTTATACTTTTTGTCCTTAATTGTTAGAGAAAAAATTCATATAACACATTTACTATACAGATGCCTCCCTTCACACTCTTTTTTTTTTAAAGAGAGAGTGAGAGACAGAGAGAGAATTTTTTAATATTTATTTCTTTTTTAGTTTTCGGCGGGCGGGCACAACATCTTTGTTTGTATGTGGTGCTGAGGATCGAACCCAGGCCGCACGCATGCCAGGCGAGCGCGCTACCACTTGAGCCACATCCCCAGCCCTCCCTTCACACTCTTGAATACCCCGAGCCATCTCGGGAGTTGTAATTGAAGGATTTAATAAATCCGCATGACTTTTGGAAAAAATAACCTTATTGATATACGCACTCCTGAAGAACATCTCTCCACTATTCAAAAAACTCACCTCTGAACATTGTTTTCTCTGTGTCTGCCTTTCTCTCACACACACTATGAATTTGTGTGTGTGTGTGTGTGTTTTCAGAGACTTCTGCATCTATAGAAGCTAAAATAACATGTGTGTCATACATACAACCATCACCACCACCACCACCTATACTGCAGGCTTACTTCAGTTATATTCTCAATTTCTAATTTGTCAGCCATTCTGATTTCCTCTCTTCCATACCTCAATAAATCTACCTGAGTACCTACATGTTGGGCATGTAAAAAACAGAGATGATACATACTGGCATAAAATGGCTTGCTTATCTCTGGAAAAGTCTCTGTCTTTGTGTCTCTCTCATTTCCCTACATCACTTACCTCTCTCTCTGATTCTCTCTGTGATACAGACAGAGAGGAGAGAGAAGAGAATGATGGGGAGAAGAGGCTGAAGAAAATAAAGTCTGAAAGCACTGAAGGCAATTTGAAAAGTTTGCAGGGAATCAACAATATTTTTCCCCACCACTGTCCCTGGAAATTCAAGCAGCAAATAAAGGCATTCTCACCAAATACTGCTCCACCACTGAATGGCAAAGGCAAGAATATCCACTTCAACTAGGCCCAGGAATCCAAGAGAATATTCAATCTGGAAGAATTCTAACCCCAAAAGAGCTCCTCCCAGGAGATGACTACAGCTCCTATAGGAAATCACTTAACCACAAATTCCAACTCCCCTTCACTCCTACAGCCTCAGTCACACATCTCAAAGGGTTGATCCCTTGAATCGTGACAACCTGACCCACATCAGCAGCCCAGAGGCCATATGGCAACATAATGCCTTTCCAGCCCACTGGATAGGAAAAGGGAGGGACAACCAATTGAATGATTGTAATTGAAATCCTGTAATTTATGATTTGTCAATAACTCCTGCCTTTGGGAAGTTCTCTTCACCCCTTAACAAATTCTGGCGGCTACAATATGTAACTAAAAGCACCTAAAGCATTTCTGAAAGCATTTTATTGTGTGGTACCAATAAGATGAAGAATAAGGTCTCTCTGGGGATTGACTGCCAAGATCCCGACCAGTTCAACATTCTCTAAGCAGTGAAAAGGAACTCACTATCTCCACAGATAATCATTTTTATGTTTAAACAATTCTATTTAAAAATATACTCACTTATACAAGCTCCAAATATGATTTCACATGAGTTCTACCCATTTTTCTGAGTTCTACCTGCTGTGGAATTATGTGGCCTGAGTAGAATCCTTTTCTATATTACAGCCACTCACATGACTAGAGACAGATATTATATCATGCACCCATCTATCATTTCACTTAGTTCTTCCTACCACTATCCATTCAATCTTCCCAATTGCATTACTCAAAACACATATCAAGTTGCCTATATTCTTATTGAAAAGTGATCATCAGAACAAAGAGGTATAGAAACAATCTGATAAATGCTGAACTAAGAACACTACCACTTGTTCTAGCTAATGTACTCCTTTATAGTCTACAATAGCACTCATTACCCTTTTGGCTATGACATCGCTGCTCTTGCCACAATATTACTTCTTTTATTCATATCTTTTAACCTGTCTTTATGAAGTTTAATTTAGAACCAAAGTCAAGATTTTATTTTGTTTTAGAAATATTCTTTTATTAAGTGTGAATCATTGTTACAACATGCTAAAATCTTCTTGCATCCTTAGTCATAAAAATATTTGCCATCTATCCACCCTTTCATTCAAGTTATTGATGAAATATAATGATTATGACATGATCAAAAGAACAGACCATTAATGACTACTCTCCAAACTGATATGAATTTGAAAGATTTGGGCCTTCTGGCCATTAGAATGTCAGAGTCCAGATTTCTCATCCTTGCCACTCTTGTACTCTATTAAGTTCTCTTACATTGGATAGTCTAGTCTCCTGCAATGATTTCCACAGGTAAGTTCACCTAGGACTTGGGGCACTCTGAGAGAAACCACTATTTTAAAAATATCAAATATAAATAAAGCTAACAAAAGAAATGAAAAAAGCTCATACCGAGAGCAACCTGATATAGTGGAAATAATGTGAGAACAGGAGTCTGAATGACCTGGGATTGAATCCTAGTTGCTTACCTTATCACCGTCAGTTCTCTCATCTTTAAATAAGAGATAATAATAATGACCTCACAGGATTGTTCTGAAGATTAGAATACATGCAAAATCTTACCACATTCTTGGCATATAATGAATACACAATATAGATTACTATTATTATTCTAGCAGGGTAGGAGACAATAACTATACTGGCACACAAAGACAATTAACCCAAGAAGAAAAAATGAAAACATATTTTTTGAAAAGTGATCATCAGATCTCTATATGCTGTGAATGTTAACTGATATTCCAGAAAAGAAGACTTGATAGTCTAATAAGATTAGGAATGAGGGCATTAAAGCTTTTGAAATCTCAGACATATTTTTCTTTGAACCTAAACAAGATTGTCAACCCCTTTCTTAATTGCTCATGTCCCTGGTAATTTTTATAGGGTCTAAAAATGCTAAACATGATTCAGATCCAGTCAATGCCAGAGTAAGAAGAATACAAAATGTAGGAGTTGGGGGTTTCAGACACATAAATAGATGATTGAAATATCATCAGCGCTATAAGAAAAGTATATCCAGAACATGTGAGGGAATATCAACCTAAATGAAGATGTAAGTTAAGGCTTTATGAACAAGGTGATGATTCAGGAGGGCATTAAAGGTGGAGATAAGTTAAGGAATGAGGAAAGTATATAGAGATTGGGGGGCTCTCAGGCCAGTGAGGAGACCATGTATAGACAAGAACTCTCTGGGCAGAGAGGAGAACACGTGGAGATATTTTTGAAGAGTGGACTACTACAAGATTATCCACAGAATATCGATTCTTCTAGACTGAGTTTTCCATAATAGTCTGGTAGTAAGAGAAATGGATTCATGTCTATTGTGAAGGGGCTTGTATGTCAAGTAAAAGTTTAGAACTTAGCCAGCAAATGGAATGACATTTTAAGATTAAAAGATGAATTTGGCAAACTAATAAAGAAAAAGGCTAGTTATGATACTTTTTACAAATACCCAATTGAAAGCCAGTGAGGTCCGGAACTAAAATTGCAGCACTGAAGATAGAGTAAGCTGCATAAAGAATATTTTAAGTCTGGGAAGAAATGACATGGGCAGGGAAGTCAAGGAAAGGAAGAAATGAAAAATGACTTTGTCTAGTTTGAGATGTTCAGTGGATGGGGATGCTATTAATCAATATGTTGACTTCTAGTAGGGAACACAAAAATGAATTGTTTTGACCAATGTAGACTAAAGTAATAAGGGGCATCCAAGTGGAGATGCAATCTGTTCGACATAATGGTATGTATTATCGAGAGACTAGGGAGTTTGTTATTCTGGAATATCAGAAAACCAACTGTATAAAGAAGAACATGTCTCTGATCCCCAAACGTAATAACATTAAAAACAAGGTTAACTTAGACTAATAATTCTTGACTAATAAACTCAGGCTCTTCCTAATGACTACTTCTAACACAAGAACTCACATTCTTGCTCTTTTGAAAAAATCAAAAGTAAACTGGCCTTATCTTCTTCACTCATCATAATTTCTAGAATATCAGCATTCATCTTGTGGCAAGTTCTCTCATTACCCAGAGATGGAATTCATAGATTAAAAAGGGAGAGGTAGGCACTGGTGATGTTTTTCTATCACAGATTGAACTTCAGTTTTTAAAAAGTTTGCAGTGTACCCTTATAGAGACAAGGATCAAGAAGTACATTTATCAACAGGTATTTATCAAGATCAAAGTAGGGATCATCAAAAAAAAAAAGTAGGTATGTGTCTTGCACACAAAGAATCTGCAATAAACAATCAGACCCTTCCATAAAATCTCCAATACATGGGGCTTATATAAATCCAAATTTGAAGCTTGCTAAAACAAGTACAGATGAGTACGTGAGGATGTTGGGAAGTAAACATATGTCACTGGAGAAATAGAGGTGGAGATATGGGTGGATCTGGGTTTGGTTAAGAATGAATCAGATCATCCCACAGAGGGTGGCTCCTCCCTGAATGGACTTGCTATAAAAAGGCCATTAACCAGACTTCAGTACCCAGCAAGCTCCTTCAGCTGCATTCTATTTGCTCTTCTTGTGAACAGGTAAGAGGGAATACATTTAACTTTGCCTACTTAGTGTTAACCAAAGTGGAAATCTGGATGAATGTGTACTCTGAGGGAAAAAAAAAGTACTAGTGTTTGGGGGTTTTCCTTTATCTTTGGTGTCACTATCACTAAAAGTTTATTTCTATGTAGAAAGAAAATGAGGGCAAAAATCTATTTTCCATGGGACGTTCAATAATCTCTTTGTGTTGTTAGACTGTCCTCTTATACATTCATATAACAAATATACATCATCTATCTTTGTATTTGCCAAGTGCTGCTCTTAGCACTGGTTTTTTCAGAAGTGAATTATATAAATTCCCTACTCTGAGAGGCTTACATTTAGTAGGGGGAGACATTCAGTAAACAATAAATAAATGAATAAGATAATTTCAAATTATGTCAAGAACAATGAAGAAAATAAAAGAGTGGTAGAGTAATAGGAGGAAGAGAGTATTTTAAATTGTAAGGCCAAGGAGGACCTTTCTAGGAAACTAACTTTGTTTGCCTGTTGAATAAAGTTTCTTTTTTAAAAAAATTGGCACATAATTGCACATATTTGGGGGTAGATATGATATTTTGATACATATATACAATGGGTCATGATCAAATCAAAGTAAATAGCATACCTATCACCTCAAACACTTATCATTTCTTTGTGTTGGGAACATTCAAAACCATTCTCTAGCTATTTTGAAGCAAATTATTGTTAACTATGGTAACCCTATTGTGCTATAAAATATAAATATTCCTCCTATCTAACTGTATGTTTAGTTTGAGAATATGTGGTCTTTTTATTTCTGTGACTGGCTTATTTCACAAACTACAATATCCTTGAGGCTCAATCCATGTTGCCATAAATGACAGGACTTCATTATTTTTTATGACTAATACTCTATTGTGTATGTATGCCATATTTTCCATATCCATTATCCATCAATGGATACTTACTTTGGTTCCACAGCCTATCTATTATGAATAGTGCTGCAATAAACATGGGCAGGCAGATATCTCTTTGACATACTGATTCCATTACCTTTGGAATATATACTCAGTATTGGGACTGCTAGATTATATGGTAGTTCTACTTTTAGTTTTTTGAGGATACTCGATACTGTTTTCCCTAATAGCTATACCAACATTCCCAGGAACAGTGTATAAGAGTTCCCCTTTCTCTATATCCTTGCCAGCATTTGTTATTACTTTTTCTAACTGGGATGAGATGATACTCCATTGAGCTGAGATCTTAAAGATGAAAGACACTAACCAAGGCAAAGGGCTAGATTCTAAAGCAAAAACTTATTTCAAATTAGAAAGGGAGCCTACAGCAAATTTTAAAAGGGGAATAGTGGTATGTGGTGATATCAGAGAGCTAAACAGGTAGAGGCCAAGTAAAAGGGGGCATAATAGCCAGGTGTGGTGGTACATGCCTATTATCTTAGCAACTCCAGAGGTAGGCAGGATGACCATAAATTCAAGGCTAGCCTCAGAAACTTATTAAGACCCTGTCTCAAAAAAATAAAAATGGCTAGGCATTCGACTCAGTGCTTAAACATCCTTGGTTCAAACCCCAGTCCCAAATTAAGGTGGTGGGCATAATAGAGTGGATATATTATTTTATTTTAAAAAATATTTTTAGTTGCAGATGGACACAATACCTTTATTTTATTTATTTAATTCTATGTGGTGCTGAGGATCAAACCCAGTATCTCACACATGCTAGGCAAGCGCTCTACCACTGAGCTACAACCCCAGCCTCTGTACATTATTTTAAATACATGAAAAGTCACTAGAGGGTATTAATCAGGATGAGTAAAATAATGTAATGTTTCTAAAAGATCACTAAATTGCTATGTGGAAAACAGGGTTATAGGAATGCAAAAGTGGGATTAAGTTGATAGACTATAATAGTTTAGGTGAGAAATGGAAATAATAAAAAATCATGAGAAACATCTGTTTGTAGAATCCAAAAACTTTTAATTTATCTTTGATACCCTGTCTTTACACCACACTGATTCATTACCATGTCCAGTCAGCTCTGCTTAAGCAACATGTTAAGCCCACTTCATCTGTCTCCTTTACCACTATCATCCTAGTCCCACCTCTATTATATTACATGAAAATACCACAACTTAATTCATCATTTTTCTAATGATAATTATTTGGGTTGTTTCTATTTGAAGAGGTATTATAAATAACAGAGCTATAAGCATTTTGTGTGAAACTTTTAGTTACATGTATATATGATTTGGGGGGAATATGATAGAAGTAACTGCTGGTTCTCAGATATTACCAAAAAATTTTTCAAAATGTTTCTTCCAGTTTATACTCTCTTTAGCTGAAAATAAAAGACCTCAGTTCTCCACATCCTAATATTTGCTGATGCCAAGTTTCCTTTTTATCTTTTTAGTCATTTTGGTGGTTATACTGTAGTTCCATAGTATAATTTCAATTTGTATCTTCCTAGTGATTAACCAGGCTGAAAACTTTTAAATATTTATTGGCCATTTGGATATTCTTTTCTGTAAAGTTCCTGTGGCAGAGACCCAATTTTCTGTTGGCTATCTATATTTATTTATTTATTTATAGGAGTTATTTTTCAAGACAAAGCACTTTATTGGTTATATGTGTTATTTATGTCTTCCACTCTATGGCTTGTCCTTCTCTCCTTTAAAGGTAATTTTTAAATGAAAAGACAATCCTACTTTTAATGCAGTCCAACTTTCTAATCATTTAATGAATAGTACTTTGAGTTCTATTAAGAAGTATTTACCTACCCTGAGGTCTTGAAGGTAATCTATATCTTTTATGTAAGATCTAGTTTTATTCCATATGGAAATTCTCTTAACCCAGAACAATCTACTCAGAAGTTACATTTTCCCTACTGACTAAACTACCATCTGTGTCATAAAACAAAAGCCCAGAGTGATACAGGTCTGATTTTGGACTACTAACTTACATTGTTCCTTTTGTTTAGCCACGGACCAATGCCATATTGTCTCCCTTTATAATACACATTACTATCTGGTATATCCTTCAACTTTTCCAAGATTGTTATATCTAATCTTAGTTCTCTTCATTTTCATATCAATTTTAGAAATCATCAATCTTTACTTTTAAAAACTTCAGGGATTTTGAATGTAATTTTATTGTCTCTATAAATAAATTTCAGGAGATCTGATATTTTAACAATATTGAAGCTTTCAATCCACAAATAAGGTCTATTCTTCTATATTCATCATCTGTGTACAGATCTTTCATTAGATTTCTAGAAATTTTCTATTTTTTATGTTTTTATAAATAATATCCTTTCTTATTTCACTGTTTTGCTATTATGTAGAAGTATAATTGGTCTTTGTATATTTATCTTATAAATATACAAATATACAAACACTGATAATTTTACTTATTCTAAGAGTATAGCTGTACATTCTTTTTGATTTTCCACATACAAAAATATCATTCTGTAATTAAGGACAGTTTTATTACTTCTTTTCTAATTACTTTCTTTTTAATTGCTTTTGTTTATTGCTATGGCTAGGACCTTTATCCCAGGGCTGAATAGGATGAAAGCAGGTATATTAAGTCTCATTCCCAAACCTGGAGGTGAAATTTTCTACATTTTACCATTAAATATAATTTTTGCTATAACATTTTCAGACATAATTGATGTGTTTTGTTTATAAATCAGAATTAATGTTGAATTTAAAGGTTTATTTATTTATTTTTAAATCTCGAAAGGTTTATATAATTTCCCCATTACTTTAGCTCTGTAGTTGATTGGTTCTCCAATATTAAATCAAACTTGAATTTTTTGAAATAAAACTTACTTAGGAGTGTTGCAAATTCCTCTAATAAAACATTGAATGATGCTTACTATTATTTCCTTTCAGATTATTGTACCTATATTTTGGGGGAAAAATATACTGAAAATTTCATTTCTATAATATAGTTCTGAGATTTTTAATGAATTGAGAAATTAATGTTTCCTCTTTTTATTTTCTCTGAAACAATCTGTATAATGTCTGTATTGTAATGATTTTTGGATATGGTCTTAAATACCATCATAAATAAGAGGGGCTGAAAAAATATTAAATTTTACAAGGCACATAACTGTATTTTAAAAATTCAGTCTTTATAATCTTCCACAAAGCCAAGATCTGGTCTTCTTTACATACATTAAAATTAATAGTAAGAGTATATATAATTCTACTAATTTATTTCATACTTTATATTAATCATGCTTCTTTTTTGTTTTCTCCTTCTTTCTTTTCTTTTTCTTCTTTCCTGACTTATATTGAATTACTGGAGCTTTTATTTCCTCTTCTCCTCTAAATAGTTTAGAAGATGTAAATTCTATTCTTGTAGTGAACAAACTTACCAAAATGTACATTTGATTTAACCAGTTAAAATTGATCAATATCTATACCCTCTTACCAAGAATCCAAGGCCCACAATTACTTTAATTCTGATTACTACATATACATTCATGTCTTTCACATTGCTTTCTATACAATTTTAGATTCACCTGTTTTTAATATAGTCATTGTAACTATTTCTTAAAATCAATGTCTATTTATACTTATTGATACATTTATTAAATTTTTGACCATCAATGATATAATTGCACGTTATTTCTTAAATGGCAAAATAAAAACAAATCAAAACCAAATTTGTTTTAACATTAAAAGTTACTGAAGTCACACTATCCAATTAAAAATAGTTTAAACTTTACAAAATGTTTTTTAAAAAGGTAAAGTGAATATTCAGTTTTTGCCCTGACAGCGAGCAAATTGCATTTCTCAGCAACTTTACTGTTTATAAAAATCATCTTTTGGGGGCAGGTAACCAAGGCTTGAGCCCAGTGGCACCTCAACCATGGAGTCACATCCTGAGTCTTTTTTATTTTTGAGATAAGGTCTTGCTAAGTTGCTAAGGGCCTCACTAAGTTGCTGGTGGCTGGCTTTGAACCTACAGTCTTCCTCAGCCTTCCACGCTGCTGGGATTAAAGGTATATGCAAACATAACCAAGTGAAAATCAGCTTCTGATAATTGATTTTCAGCTAATTATTCTAGTAAATATTCTAGTGAGTTTTTCTAAATCTTGTATGAGCAACAACCATTAAAACAAGGGGATTATCTTACGTTGAGCATAAAAAGGTCTATAAAGCTACAAAATTACTGTTGCAAATGGGTTCAAGTCCCAGAAATTACCGGTCTTAGGAAATCTATCAAATTCTTTCTTGATTCTACGTAGATGAAATTCTAGATGGACAGTAAAGAGATTTCATGATCAGCATTCGTTTACAAAGATAGACTACATAAGGGCTATAGGATTAAAATGTGGAAAATCACTATAAAAATTAAAACAATTTTTTAAAAAATGAAGTATAAGTAAATGTTTATTTCTTCTTTCTAGGTTCACATATACTGCCTAAAGATGTCTACCATCATGGAAAACATCATTGCCATCATTGATCTATTCGAAAAATATTCAGAAACAGATAAAGAAACTGAAACTCTGAGCAAAAAAGAGCTGAAGGAACTTCTGGAAACAGAGTTTCAGCAAATTCTGAAAGTAAGAGCTTTGTGATAGGACCATAAGAGAGCTTTCCTGATCTTCAGCAATGATCTAAAGAAGTATTGTCCTGAATAGTTTTTGAACCATTTAATTTGGAAGTGAATCTGAGTTAGTCTTATTTAAAAGAGGTAGAAATTTTTTTAATTTACCTGTAAGTAAACTGCATGTACATACACGAACACAGAAAGTGAAAGAAACATACATGTTTCCTTCTAAAAAATGAATGCCAGTTAGTTACTCTATATATTGCTCATCCCAAATCAAGTTTAATAATAGGGTATATTTTAAACCATGAATTGTTATTTAAAATCATGACTCTTAAAAAATAAAAACATGCATTTATCAAATCAAAACTTTAAATTCTTTCATACTAACTCTTTAAAACTTACCTAAAACACAGTATCTACAAAATTTACCTAAGTCAAGATGAGGTAAAAACATCACAGAAAAAAACGAAGACTCTGATTATATTTTTTTAAAAGGGCATTCATATAACAAAAATGCATGCTGATTTCTTAGCTGACAATGGGAATAATACGACAATCTCCTTCTATCATTTCTCCTTACAGAATCCAGATGACCCTGACATGGCAGATGTCTTCATGGAAATGCTAGATATAGACCACAACGAAAAAATTGATTTCACAGAATTTCTGCTGATGGTATTCAAGCTGGCTCAAGCATATTATGACTCCACAAAGAGTCAAAATTACAGAAAATCAAGTTCAAAAGGAAAAAGGCATAGAAATTTTGATGAAAATGAAACAGAAGATGGAGAAGAAGATGTGGAAATTGAAAGAAACAGAACATCAAGGCATTCAAGAAAAGATAGAAAGTCAAGATCAAAAGGCACAACAGGAAAAGGAAAAAACAAACATAGGACGAGGTCTGGAGAGCATGGAAGAAGTAACTCAAGCAAAGGAACAAAAAGAGAACATACACAAAGACACCATGATACAAAGGTAAAGAACAAAAAGAGATCTAACTCATCTGAAATCAGAGAGATAAGAACTGGCCCCAGGGCAGGACAGGAGACCCACCGCGAGCACTCAGCGGACAGCTCCCGGCGCCACGGCACGGGGCAGGGGCAGGGGCAGGGGCAGTCCACCTCCCGGGGCGACAGACGCCGAGAAGCCAGCTTCAGTCAGGCCAGCGACAGCGAAGGGCACTCGGAAGACTCGGCCAGGCAATCCCCATCCGCCCACGGAAGGTCCGTGTCCACGCCGAGGACCCACCAGGGATCTACCCAGGGCCACGCAAGAGACAGCTCCAGGGACACCGGGTCGCGTCAGGGACAGACTGCTAGACGACACACGCAGTCGGACACCGCTCACGGGCACTCAGCCTCCAGCTCGAGGGGAGGACAGGGGAGCCGTCACCAGCAGGGGCCAGACGGCTCCAGGCAC